CCCCAAAACCCCAAAACCCCAAAACCCCAAAACCCCGAGAGTCAAATATGTAGTTGAAAAATATAAATTAGAATTTTCTCTTCATCATGAAGTTGGGCTTGGAACTCCTCTTTGGAGCATCTATTTTCTGAGGTTGTAACGGAGGTGAAGTCTGCGTTATATTTGACATTTGGCTGGTCTCCTGAGTCTTATTAGCCTGTGGTAGCTCATGTCTAGCCATAATGTTCTTGATTTCTTGCTTACTGTGAGCTACAGAGATTGAATCATCCTCGAATTCACTAGGGTAATCTTCTTCAGGCTTCATTTCAAGGGTGATATCTTTGAAAACATTCTTTACCTTCTTAGATTCAATGCTTGTTTCTAAGTTATCACTTGATTTCAAAACACTGAAATCAGCATTGTGATTACCCCTCTTTTTCCTGTTGATAGACTTAGCCACCTTCCTCTTCTGAATTGGATTCTTTAACGGTTTACTTGGTGTCTCATATAGTGGTTTTCTGTGTACACTCTTTGGTTTCTTCTTGGCAGAACCCATAGAACTCTTGTTAGCATGTCTCTTTAATTGTTGGATGTTAAGTTGAACCTTCCTTCTCTCATCTTCTTTCTTCTTAATCTCTTTATTTACACTTCTTGATGATTTTCTTGACCCATTTGATGTCCTTCTCTTGATTTTGTATTACGCTTCTGAAATGTTTTAACTGTGATGTTCTTTTCTCTTCTAGATTTTCTATATTCTGGGCAACTTCGTCGACATCTTCCTGTTTAGCATTATGCTTCATGCCAGAAGCAGACTCTAAACGCTTCTTCTCGTGTATGAGGTCTTTTATAAACTTAGTTTTATTCTTCATGGTTTCTACTTCGAGATGCTTACTCTTGAGTTTAATATCTATAGACCTATATTTCTCTTTTAGGTCTCTTAACTTTGTCTTAGCTTGTTCATAATGGGACTCAACATCCCCAGTGAACTCAGATTGGTCCTTAGGTTTAGTAAGGTGGATCATCCGCTTAATAGCTTTATTATAGTCCTTCATCTGATTCTCTTGCTTGTGCATGAGTTTCTTCTGTTGTCTAAGCTCGTTCTCCATTTCAGTTAACTTATTGTTCTTGTATGTGCTTTCTAGTTCAGAGTACATATCAGAGATTTCTTTCTTCATCCTCTTGATCTTCTTTGCGCGCTCCTTCATCTTTTCCTTATTGGTTTTGTTAAGCTCAACTTCGTCGACGGGAGCCTGCTTTTCCTTCCTGTGCATGCTGACCATCCTGAGGTCAACTTGTTTGGAAAGCTCATGGATCTCTTGCAAGAGATCAGTGTTTGAATTCATCAATCTTTGCATCGCAACCGGGTTTACCGAGGGCTTCTCCACTGGAGTTTTAGAAATAGGTGTAGATTTGAGAGCCTTTTTAGGAGTCTTTCTCTCTGTTTTTACACGAGTCTGTCTAGCAGGCTTCTTTTTAGGAACCGTTTTTGGAATTTGTGGATTTGCTTCTGTTTTACTGGCCTGGTGTCTACGAGACTTCCTAGGAACACTCTTTGTCTTCTTTTCTTCATAGGTTTTGGATTGGATCTTTTGAGGCTTTACTGGGATGAATTTTGCTCTGTTATGCAAGCTTGGAGCAGGAGTCTTTTGCTCAGCTTGTGGTGATTTGATATTAGTCAGGATATTATCAGCAACTTTGTTGATATTATCCTCTTGAAGGTCAAAATCATCATCGTAATCATCAGAGTCATCCTTATCTGAGTCAAGAGCAAATACGTTCTTCTTGGGTTGAACATGATCCTTAGTCATTGACTGTACAACTGGTTTGGCTCTTCGGTCAAAGAAATCATTCTTTTTCTCCTCAAAGGGAGTAAATTTAGCGGTATTTTCAGGTGCAGGAGGAGCCTTATTGCCCCTAATAGTCTTAGCAACGGTATCATGAACTGAAGACCTAAGGGATGGAACCCCTTCAAGTTTTGGCTTTGCGAATAGACCATTAGGAGATTCGAATTTCTTGGGTTGATTCTTAATGGTTTTCACAGGAAGGTCATCAGGTTTGTTATCTGACTCGAAATCGTCAAAGTCATCTTCGTAATCGTCAATTTCAGACTTGATCTCTGATTCTAAAGATTTACGAGGAAGAGCATACCTGATTTATCAGGTTTATTATGAGTAACATTTGTTGGCTGCATATAAGAATTTGATCCAGAATTTTCTTTTTTAACTGGACTAACAGAATTGTTCGAGTGGTAGTTGCCAGAAGTCTTAGCTTGCTCTGGGCTAAAACTTGGAGCTATATTAAGCAGTTAGAAGTCTGAGTGAAATTAAAGGAAAATTAGGTGAGCTATTATAATTTTAAAAGAGTCAATTGAATAGTTTGAAGTCAGAAAAAGGAGGGCTCGGAGCGGCAATTGAACATTTTTAGGTGAAATTTCATCAAATTTTGATAGGGAGAAGTAGTGGAATGTTTTCTGAGTAATTTTGGAGGTATTTTAAGTATATGTTTATTGCGTGATTTTGAGACTCTTGGGTTATATTAAAACAGCATATTGTAAATTTTAACAGTACCTTTACCATTGAGAGTTTTTGGAGGTTCACTATCATCACTAAACATGTCCTTTAAGTTAGATTTTTTCGGAAGCGGCTCTTGAGGTTGGTCATTATCAGATTCACCAAGACTTCCAAGACTATCTTCAAAATCGAATCCGTCCATGAAATATTTTTATACAATATATTTTATAGCTTATGGGGTTTTGGGGTTTTGGGGTTTTGGGGTTTTGGGG